ACCAATGCCATAAAACAATATATGTACTAACTGCTTAATGAGAAGCTACTTTGTTCTGTAAACCTTCATCTAAAGTTCAATTTAAAAACATATAAAATTTCAGCATTTTTATTAGAGAACATACAATTTTTTACATGTATAATTATAAGTAGTTCCCAATGACATCCTAATCAATACATTTATGTGAATATTTGAGCAAACTTGAACATATTGATTATTCTACAGAGGAAGCTCATAAGGCAATCTTTATTGGCATAACTAAAATTACAGGTTTTACTTTAAAATATCAATCTAGTACATTTAATTCCAAAAAAAATACCATTTTACTCCAATACATACTGAAGCCGAGAGTACTTCCTGGTCAGAAACATGAGTTTATTTTCTTTTAGATAGAAACAGGGGTCTTTTCAGAAAGAAAATAAGTGCTTGGGAAAAGCACACAAAGACACAGGAAAGATAGAAAGAAAGGAAACTCAAAGCATATAGTTTTCCTTTGTAACTGAGTAGTTTAAGGAAACTGCCCAGAACAGTTTAAAAACAAAGGAGATCAAGTCCATCTCTTGCTCAAAATTGCTCAGTGGCTTTCCAAAGCCAAGCAAAACAGAAAGTTTTTACCATGACGTACAAAACCTGCCTGCCTCTGCTAAGACAACACTTTTCTCCTCACACTTCACTATCTATGGAAACCTTAGTTTTTTATCCCCAAGATCATTTCCTCCTTGGGGACTTTCTACTTCTCTTCCTACTGCCTTTCAAGTTTTTCCCCCCAGTTGTAAGCTCAACTGACTCCTGTACAACGGTCAGTTCTCCGTGTGGGTGTTGCCTGAGCAGACCACACTTTTCCCTATCTGAAACATCCTTCCTACACAACGTTGTCACTCTGATAGCTTTATCCTGTCATATTTTCCTGCCCAGCACTTACCACTACCTGGAATTATATTATCTATTGTCTGTTTCTCCCATGAGAAAGTAACCTCCCTAAGTACTAATATTTTATGAGAACATATATGCTTTCCCTTATATAAAAACAGTGAGATTTCTTGAACATTCACTATGATCCCTACATTATGTTAAGTGTTTTATATGGATTCTTGTTTTATTTTCACAATAAGCTTCTTGGGAAAATACTATTATTTTCATCATTTGCTGGTAGGGAACCTGAAGCTTACAGAGATTACAAAATTTGCCTTGAGTCGTACAGGTATTAAATATCTGAGACAGAATTCAAACTTAGATATTTTGGCTTTAAGTCCTGAGTTGAAGGCAGTAAGAGAAATGGGATTTCAAGACAGAGATGTGGCATAACCACTCATATATACAAACAGATAGAGCCAAAGGAGAATGCTGTTATCATGATTCTCACTACAGTAGTTTATGACTCAGGGAGTAGAAATAAAAAGAGCATTTTCACATAAATCACTAAAAGAATGTGTTGCATTGTCTAAGATAAGCAGAGCTGAGCACATAGTAAGCACTTAATAAATACATGTTAATTGATGTACAAAATTGTTTATGCTAGTATCAAGTCAATTATACTATTGAATGTTTGAATACAGAATTATGGAATCACAGAAGTGAACAATGTTTTAAAATGTTCTCATGCCCTGCTTTACCACCTCATTGAGGCTTGTATCTAAGACATCAGTGAGAAAGAGCTCTCTTTATATATTAAATATTCCTGAGATGGATTTTTCTTTTATTCCCTTTAGTCAAATAAATTCTTCCTTCTTTAATCTGTACTTCATTTTTTTCTGTCCGAAGTTTCTTTCTTTTGTTTAGTGTTTTTGTGGAGGTGGGAGAACAATAGATCTGTGTTTCCTCATGATAACTCAACTTAGCTATAGATTTTCTATTCTGTCCAGTTGTACTGGCAATAATCAAAGACCCTTTGATTTCTCAGTAACCAATTCCTCCCTTTACATGAACCATGAAGCTTAAGTGCTGGCTGCCAAGTTGTGGGAGAATTTCCTTATCTTTAAAGTAGCTGGAAATTTGCAACCTGGCTTCTGGAGTGAGCATATTTTCTTGGTGATCCCTTTGGAATCCTCATGTAGCCTGGCATATATCTTTAAAAGACTAAGTCACGACAACACAAAGATTATAGTGTCAAATACCACAGTCACCAGATTTAAGGACTGGGATGGAAATTGAATCCATTTTGGTTGAATGTTGTTGTGAGCTGCCATTGAGTCTCCCACAACTCATGGCAACTCCATGTGTTACAGAATAGAACTGCTTGTAACCCTGTAAGTAGGGTTTTCCTGGCTGTAACATTTATGGAAGCAGTTTGCCAGGCCTTTCTTCCATGGAGCCACCGGGTGAGTTCAAACCACCAACCTTTAGGTTAGCCACCAATCACAAACTGCTTGTGCCACCCAGATTCTTTGGCTGAATAGATCTGATAATCTGTCCAAGTCAGCCTTCTGTTTAAATGCACAGATCACTAGCTAATTATTCTGTATGAAACACAACTGGCTCATTTTCACCTTAATGCTTAAATACAAAACCAATAGGGTAGACTGGCTAAAATTAACTTCAGTAGATCAAGCTTCCTGTGGAATTAACCAAATAATTATGCTGAGTACTGGTCTAAACATGTTCTCAGAGGTTTTTGGGTAGACAATGTAGTGATTAAGAGAGGGAGCCAGGGAGCCAGACCATGCAGGCACATCCTTGCCAACCACAAATATTTCTTATGGTAGGGCACAGAGTAATTCTTGTCTTTAAAATCTCTAATGAAATTCCTAAAAGCATAGAATATAATTAAAGTCAGAGTTTTTCAGGTGATTGAGTTTGTCTGTGTGAATAAACATGTGGTTCAATTGGACCAGCTTAAAATTCCTTGGTCTGCTTGTCTGTGTTTGCTCTTGCTGCTCATGGTGCTTTAGAATGGTCCAGTTAAATCAGACTGTCAAAATGGTGAGGTTCCCTGTTTGATTTACTCATGCCACATAAACCCATGCAGACTGTGATGAATGCCACATTTGAGAAAATCTCACATTTGTGAAAACATATTGGGTCACATTAAAAAGGAGATTAAATGAATCCCTTTTTCAAAAAGTTTTTGGTATGTAGAAAGGAATGCTGAGGTGACGCCTGTGTAATGGCAGAACTACAGATGTCTCTCAGTGGAAATATGCTCAATGGACTAAATTTCATCACATTGGGTGCAGGGAGAACTATAAGGAGCATGCTTCAAATGACTCTGAAATGGAAAGCTGGCAAATTAAATCCTGACCTTCTGCAGAGTATTTAGAGTACAGAGCAAGAAGCAGCCCATACATTTTCAAAAGAAATCCCATTGTGAGCTTAGCTGTACCTTAGCACTGCCAGAAATGATCTCTTCACATTGCAGAATACAGGCAATTGTGTGTGTGACCCAGTTATTTTACTTCTCCAGCATTTGCTGCAGGAGCATTTTGTTTAGAATGTCTTAATTCTGTTGCTTTTAAATGGAATTGTAAAGCCAAAGGATGTAAGTGCACAGGTACAATGTTATTAGATAAGATGGGATTTTATAGAAACTGAAGTGTCTTCCAGAATGGCGTATGTGGCCATGTCTAGCAAGTGCATGTAAGCCGGTAAGATGACTCATGGCCACTACTGGGAAACTTATTCATGGGGAAATATAGGTAAGAGGAAATGGGTGGGATGTTCAAGCCTGAGGCAGGCCCTCCAATTTAGTGACCCTCCATGGAGGATAGGGGGGTCAGGCCTTTAAGGAATGATTCTCAATACCACTACCTCTATTGTAAGTTAAACAATTGGTATTGGGGAAATATCTTTAGTTTGCTTGTCCATTAACTGAAAACTGAATGATTCTGGGTGGAAAGCTGATAAATAGAAAGAAT